CGCGGCGCCATGGCGGGCGGCTCGGCGGGCGCGCTGGCCGCGGCGCTGGGAGCGCTGGGTGAGGGCAGGGCGACCCGCCGTGGGGGCTCGGGCAGCCGGGGCTTTCCTGAGGGGCATGCAGGCTAAAATTGATTGAGTTCAACGGAGGTTAATGCGTGCATGGTGGCCTAGGCGTTTTTCAGAGAAAGATCGGATTTTTTGCTGTAACGCTTTATTTAGGTGTGTGCTTCTGATCGCTGCTGTTTTTCAGATGGTGGTGGTGCAGCAGACAAGATTCGTTTAATACCTCAAGACTTTTTTGCAGAGCTGGTGAGTAGGGCGATAAATGGGATGGGGAAGGGCTTCTAGCACTCCGGGAAGCCCTTTTTCTTAAGCTCTTTTCTGGTTTTTGTGTGCTTTAAAGGGAACCTTAGGTATATGGTACCTTGACTCATAAAACAGATCAGTCCTGTTAAGAGCAATGGATTTGATTTATGTTTTTATCACAGAAGACTTCTAAACATCTATTTTTGCCTATCATTTAAATGATATATCAAGGTAACTGGTCTAAAAAACATTTGGGTTACTGTAGTGTATGCTTGAACAGTTAATATGAAAGTGGTGTGTTAATTAGCAATAGTGAGGTAGAAACTAAAGTCTTAATTTTAAAATCAAGTGCTGATTTTAAAATCAGTAACTGCAATTACTTCAATCTTTACTTTGCAGCCTTCACTCTTTTTGTCCATTTTTGTATCAACAATGTCTTCAAATATGTTTTTTTCACAGTGTGAGCAAATAATTCAACATCTGAACCATAAGATCCCAGGTATAAATACATCTGAATTGTGTCAGGTAAGTTGGCACACCAGCTCTTGTGATCAGAATAGTACCTGCTATTAGAATAATCCCCTGCTGGGATAGCATTCCCAACTTGATGTGGGGTTTCTTGTGTGTTTGTATATCCTGAAATGCTTTTACTAATGCATAATTTATTATTTGTAATTCTTTGAACATTCTGTTTCTAGAGAATTCAGACATCGGGGGTTGACATTAATATTGGTGACCTGGCAAAAGTAGCTAACACCCTTTCATTTCTGTTTAGGTAAGCACAAAATAATTTACTTTGCACAGTGTCTTTTTTCCTTCCATCACAACTTAATGGTGGTACTGA